AAGATGTACCTTGACCGAAACGATCCAAAGTGCATTTTGTAGAACTTGACTTATAAAAGAACGGAACATGCTTATTTTTAAAACAACATATATGAATAAAATCTAAACACAACTCTCTATCTTTTCGACATAAAAATGATGTTTTCTGATCAAGTTTAACTTGAGAAAAAATTTTGCAAAGTGGTATCATTTTCTCTCGTCAACCCGTTAAATAAATGAAAAAAATATCTTACTCCAACTTTGAATTTCCGGCACTTTACTTTAAAATCGACATTTAATACATATTATAATTATGTAAAAATATATTTTGAGTATTTCTAGTAAAAATGTGTAGGTGAAATAATGTCAGTAAGTGGTACACTCGCATTTCCCTTTGACCATTTGATCTTGTTGGTAATAAAACAGCTGTGATTGTGAGTAGAGTTGACGGATACGCTTGAAATTTTAGGAAACTCGAGAAATCTTTGTGCAACATTTCAGAGGAAAAATTAGCAGTGCTGAATGATTTCACTGAATCCATTGTTTGAGATGTGTAGGCCATCAAAAAAATGTCATTAAATTTCGTCAAAATTTGATATCTTTTTGAGTTTAAATTTAAATTACTATGTACTAGTAGTTTTCACAAACTTCTGATTTATTGATTTCAAACTTGCTCGATCGTTTAAAGTTCCTAAAACTTAATTCTATAAAAGATTTGCATGAAAAAACACACAAATATAGAATCAGCTGTTCAATCAAAAACGAAACGTACAAAAAACAACCAAACTGATCTAGAACGACTGATAAAAAGGAAAACAGCTAGTCTGCACCATCAAACGCATTGAATACTCATACAGTATGCACACAATGCGTCAGTTTAACAAACGTTTCAGTTCTAAAGCAATATTCATCAGATAAGATGCTTCAGCGAGACAACGCATGTCTAATTTTCTAAACCACATTTGCAGTGAGTGACGATCATATGGAAATGAATGTTTTGTTTCAAATGGTTCCACGAAAATTGGTCGAAAGAAAAATGGGCGAACGAAAATTGATTGCCATAGAATTGGTCACTGTATGAAGCTAGTCGAATGTTTTACCAACACAAAAATATGAACTTTATTAACAGAAACACAGCAGTTAAGTTTATCCATCGACAGAACGGACCACAACAAAACATAGTGGAAATGCGAACATTGTCGTACAGTAAAATGTAAAGAAAGAATTCGTACTGAAGTATTTACAAATTGTGAGCAAGTCCTTTTCCGTGGTTACAGTAGTATAGAATGCAGGAACGTTTTTATTTTATTGTTCGACATTATTCACATTTTCATCAATAGTTCTAACAGTTTTATAAGCATAACCTTTACACAACAACGATTTATCTCTTGTGGTTGTACTAATTGTAATCGTGGACATGGCTGAGAAAAATAGTTGAATGTTACTCTGTCCTTGCATTGTTCAAAGATGTATAGACAGGATCGATATAACTTGGTCATCTAATTATCAGTAATAAGCTTCAAGTTAGGATGAGGTCTAAACCTTGGCTTTAGGTCTCAGTCCTATTTTTCCACTTGTTTTATTCTAAAAGGACACTCGGCTTCTCTGGTAAAGCGAAGAGGTGATAAGGCGGTATTTACCAAAGAAACCTGATCAATATTTCAGCATTTGTAGCGGCTAATTGTCTGCGACAACTTTTCGATCGACTAATTTTCTTTCGACCAAGCTCTGCCGTTTTAAAGCTCTGACGTAGCAATTTAATTGTGCCTTTTATTCGATACCAGAACGATGTTAGATTGCGAAAGATAATGTTTGGGTTGTAAGGATGAGCATGCTTTTCATGGATTTCTCGGCTGATATTTGTTAGGAAAGTAGTAGAATATCTTTATTCATGAGAAAATTGTCGCGCTAAGTAAATGTTTGTACAATTCTGCATTTAAAACAACGCTGAAATAAATCTATTTCAAACAATTGTGGAATTTTGTCACAAATAATACATATTTTTATTAACTTAAAACGGTAAATTGTGCGATCAGATAGCATATCTATAAAATCAGCACTAATCCCAATATTAGTTGAATTCTTTATGATGAATTTCGAAGAGACAGATAAGAATATTCATCATTTGAGTAGTATATTATGGAGTATTGATCGCAAGTTCGTCAATAATTACAATTCTTAACATATTAGCGATTCATACCCGCAGGATCTTTTTTTCCCTATTTATAGCGTTATAACGCTATAAAACATGCTTTTTCTTAAATTATGGTATTACAACGCTGTAGATTTATCTCATTACAACGCGATAGACGTAGCTCTTCGTGTTATAACATGTGGCAAAGTTATTTTTTAGGAATTTATGGCGTTGTAACTGGATAAAAATTTTCATTGCATTACAACTCTATAAATTTATAGCATTACAATGTATTTCAATTTTTTATCTCGTTACAACGCAATTAGATTTGTCTTCCGTCTTATAATACGTTAGATTCTGATGTATTATAACGCGTTTGAGTTTTCTACTTCAATATAATGCGTTAGAAATTAATGCATTATAATACCTTAGATGTTTTATCTAATTATAATGCTATAAATTTGGAAAAATCTTTTATAGCGTTATAACTCGTCAGATAATGCATATCGTATTGTAACAGGGTAGTATCTAATAGATTACAGTGTATTATTCTTTTCTATCTCATTGCAATGAGATAAGAAAGTGGAACTCGGTGTAACATGGTAGATATTGATGCGTTATAACGAGTTAGACAATATCCAGAAGGAAAATACATGGTTTTCTTGTAAAGGACATATTTCCATAAAGTTCTGAGACTGCCAATCGATTTCTCTCGAAAATTTGGTCCGGGAAAAGTTATTTCAACTATATCAGACATATACATTACAGACTTGAGACTTAGAACATAAACTGCCACCGCACACTTATTATCACTGTCACGTATAGCGTTACAGCGCCTGAACAAATGCATTGTAATGCCATAAATTTTAAACGCTATAATGTGTTAGATACTATAGCGATATAATACATTAACCTGTAATGCGTTCGTTACAGGTTAATGCGTTATAATGCGACAGGAATTAGGAAACGCCCTGTAAACGACATACAAATTACTAACGCGCTAGTCGAATTTATAGCGTTATAAAATATGAGAAAGTTGTTGATAAAAATGCATTATAACACTATAATTTCAATTTTGGGATAGTTTTTTCCACGTAACACGTTACACTAATGTGTTACAGTGCATTAAAGACATGTTTTTTCTAAATTTATCGCGTTATTACATAATAGAAAACCTAACACATTACAAGGCATTACGATATGCCTAACGCATTATAATGCAATAAATACGAAGAAAAGATCCTGTGGGTAGTCACATCTATATAAAGAAAACTTAAATAGAAACTTTTGATAAAAAAAAATTGTTAATCTGTGCTAGATAGGGCTGATCGCTCTATTCTCTTGATCGGTCTAATTTCACAGCACTTTTAGTTTTACTCAATATGGTAGAGTAAAGATCTAAATATTACATAATAAAGATGTCAATGTTTATTCCACCGATATAATTTTACAAACTGGTAAAATTTATTGTCGAATGTACTAATTTCTCATTACTGAGATAATCAAATAGCTTTCAGTCGATTGAATAATTTATTTTTCACGTCTATTTATGGTAATCAACAGAAAATAACAAATATTTAAAAAGCACGATAAAAAAGAAACAAAAGAATTCATATCAGGTTGCACAATTTGCCAGCAAGCGTTAAGAATCAGTCCAAACGAAATCTCGCTAAGTACTTGTTCTATAGCTTAGTGTAATGTCTTATATATAAAAAAGCTTCCAGTATCATATGCTTTTCTCAATCTTAAAATGTATTCCTCACAAGAAAGGCTTTCCAAATGTCACTTTGATTTTCCTTTTAAACTTACTTGATTATGGATGTCGAACACAAATATGATATATGCTCGTCGTCATACAGCCTTCCAGAATCTCTGTTCAAATTCAAGCTCCTCCGAAACTTATCGCAAACGTTCGTCTACACAAATTCTGTCCAACAATTATTTACCAAAATATAAACATTTCAGCTTTATTCAATTAAAATGAGGATGGATGAATTATTATTGTTCTTGATAAAAGAGCTTATCAGCGCAGACCTTGGGTCTAAAATGTAACTTCTCCATTCAAATCTATTATCAAAGGTGGAACCGGATGGGGATAAAATTTTCAGATTTCCAGTAATTTCTTCCTGTACAAATTTCAAGGGCAGAATTACAGTACAGCAGAATTCTAAGCAGCTGTGGACTCTCAGACTTACCGAAGTCTGGAGAGTCCAATACAAACTTCCCAAAATTCGAGAAACTGGAGGAATCCCTGGAAGTACAAGAAAAAATCGCAAAAAGGGATGAGAATCCGATGAAATCCCGAAAATCTGTAAAAATGACTGAAAATGGGGCTAAGCGGAAAAAACGCGGAAAAATTCAAAAACAGTCAGGAAAATTCTTCGGCCTCAGCGAAGTCATGCAGAACACCAAGGAGTTTCCAGGAGTACAACAGAATTTGAAAAAAATTGATTGCCTGTGGAATGGAGCCTAGATTACAAAAGTCACAAAATCTGTTGTTTCCCCCTCGACAAATTTTCACTCTTTGTTCTTCCTCTTTCAGAGGGATCCACGTGAGGAGTTACACGAAAGTTATAACTTAGTAAAAACTTGTTTACTAGTTCACAACAACTTTTACCCATAGGAAATTTGATATGCTCTTTGACCTAACACTAATAGAATCTGTTTAGATGAAGTGTGTAATAGCTTTCTGAGGAACTTTAATTTGAACAGAGAGTCTCAAAAGACTGTATAGTGACGAATGAATATTAGAATCGTGTTCGCTATAAAAAAATTCTCCTTAATCAAGTAGAGACAATTGCAGAACCTCTCTCGTCAGTTTCATCGCTAGATCAGATTGAAAAAAAATACAGAAATGAGATCAATATAACTAAAAAGAAAATTTTATTTAAGTAGAAACAGAACTGTTATTGAAAAATGAATTGCTATTGTTGTTCTCATCATCATCATCCTCACTGTTTACTATATTATTTTCAACTGCTCTTTTACTCATCACATCATTATCACTGTTATCGACTATATTAAGATCATTTAATGTTTGATTTGTTGACATCAATAGAACTTTTTTATATAAAATATCAAATTTTTTAATAAATAAATCAATATGTTCTTCTTGAATACCAATCGAAGCAGCCACAGTTAAATAAGAATATTTTGATGTTGATGAATGTGAACCATAATTTTCAAATTCATAATTGTCTATTGTTTGTTTCTTTCCAATTTGTATAACTCTAGCACCTGATATTCGTCTACTAAACAACATTGAACCTAATTGTGTAATATGTTCAGATGGTAACTGAGTTAATGTGACAGCAATTGAGATTGGATTTTGCTTTGTTTTCAGAATATGTTCCGTATTCTCTGAAGTCCATCGAATTAATTTATCTAAAAATTGTTTATGAAGTAATTTTCGTTTTTGAATTAAATCTGTAAGACCCCGTCTACCCATCGATAATAATGTTATAAATAAATCAATGGTTGGTGTTATTGATGCACGTCCAGGATAGATCTTTGATAAACGATCAAGTGATTCTTGATCATATCCCAATACGATGGATCCTCCTACTGGTACCAAAAAATTTTTATCCGTACTTTGTACTATATAATCAATTCGTCCACCTTTTCGTTTTGATTGTTCCAATTCATGAATTATTTTTGTCGATTGTAAACCGTATGCATTATTTATTAAATGTGGTATTGAATATTTTTCACATAATAAACTTAATTCTACAACATTGTCTATGGCACGTGGGGCAAAACAACTTGTGGTAGAATAAATACAACATATTTCATTAAGATTTGTACAATTTTTTAAATATTGCTCAAATTTATTTACATCTGTATGAAGTTCTTCATTATCATCGGTCTGTATTTGTTCAATAATGACAGGAATCAAATCAGTTGCTAATATTGCCTTCAAACAACTTTTTTGATCAATTCGTGACCATAGCACATATCGACATTGAGGACGTATTTTCTTTAATGTTAACAAACATAATGTTAATGTCATACCTAGAGTGAAAAATAGAAGAAATGTATGTTTTCATTTGTAAGCCACTTTCTACAGAAAAAAGAATCTATTTATCAATGATTTAGGATTTATACAAGTCTATCTATCCATTATTATGGTTAAAGATTTTTATTAATTACCAGTAGCCATTGGGATAACTAATGCTGATTTAATTGTTCTTAATCCAAGATATTTCACTGTATCCAAAACGAGTTCATTTGTTAATTGATTAAGTAATGATGATCCAGCTGCTTTTGGTTGAACAGAATTAATATCACCCGATCGTCCGATACCATGTGAAAATGAATAATGTCTTTTGGCCACTAATGATGAATAAACTCGTCCTTCTCTCTCACCAACACCAATATTTCCTAAAAAATTATTCGAATCCATTTGACTTAATTCATTTAGCCATTGTTCAATTAGTGAATCATCTAAACCTATTTCAGGTAATTTACGATGTTCAATGATTTGTCGAATTTGTTGTTCACGTGTACGACGTGCTTGACGTGCAAGTTGAATGTATGAACATGGTACAAGACGTTCAGCTAATTTAAATGATTCTTCATTCATAATATCGAAACAAAAGATTTTTAAAAAACAAAGCACTAAAACTAAATCTAAATAGAAATTGCAAGTACCAAATCAATGATCATTAAGAATATTGACCAAAAAGTTACATCGAGGAAAAATACAAAAAGACCCCATTTCATTCCCTATCCAATAATCAATTTATTCTGTAAAATTTACAACAATAATTTCGATCAGTAACCTAATAAAAATATATAACAAATCATTCTTTCTTTGCATAATTTTTGTGTCTCGAATGAAGTCGTATCACTACTTATAGGCGATAATATTTGCATTTTTGTAAACATTTCAATGAGTTTATATTTGTTTTGGTTTTCAAATAGACTAAAATTAGATTAATATTCAGTTTTTTTTTCATTGAAAATCGATTAGCGGCATTGACATACTTTCATTTTCAGTACTTTTTGAAATGGTCCTACATCCGTATCATTCATAAAATGTAAGTAATTTTCAACAAATACTTTTGGTAAATCATGTGTTGTTAGAACAACTTTCAATATTATTTCAGATTTTGTCAATACTTTTAAGAACAGTTTTTGTAAAAAACTAAACAAAAAAAAACACATGATGAATAAAGAAAGTAAATATAAATAAAATCGTACTGACTTTTGAGACGTTTGACAAGAAATAGTTAGATTAATACTGGGAAAATCTAATAAAACAGTTTTCAAGCAGTGTGTATCTAATAAAAATTGTTCAGCACCAACCATATTTGATCGGTCTACAATGATATAAACGTTTAGAATGAATGAATTAAAACAAGTATGCACAACCGAACCAATCTTGTATGTAGAAAATTAAAAACGAGTTTGTAATTCGATAATATCTAATAAATATACTGTAAAATTGTGCAAAATATTTTCGCGAAGATACGAGATGATTACAAATAATGTGTACTATTGTTTTCAAATCGTTGATAATTGATATAGCATACATGCTTTTATCGCCAACCATTTCAATTGTTTGCCATACTAACGATAAAAAAAATAAATACATTTATTACATTATGTTGGGTGAAAAATGGAAAAATATTAACAGGTCTTTATCGTAGCAGTTGAAGCTGAGGTCCACAAGCATTCTCCAGATCTTGTATCAAGATTTGAATACATCGTCCTACCTTCTATAAAAAAGAATACGGTAGTAATGGATTCACCAACAGAACTGTCTATTTAATGCGTTTTATAAACATTTTTCTATGATTTGAAGTTGATTTTCTCTACTAATGCGTTGGTTGATTATTTTTTCTTTCATTTTCTCTTCTATCAAAAAGGAAAACAAGTTGTTTTTTAATTAAGAAATAATTTTACTCTTAAATATTTTAAATGTTGTTATTAGAAAAACGCGCTACATCTCATTATCATGAACTCTCTAATGCTTGAAATGTTGCTTTTACTGATTATAATAGCAAAGAAGCTCAAAAAGCCCATCTCTCCCTTAAATTCTACTTAAGGTCCATTAGAAATCCTCTTCCTTACTTATTTAGATTTTCAGACTGAATAACAACATATCTATCTCTTAACTCTATAAATAGGTCTTTGGTTATTTACATACGCAGCATCTATCTAGTACTTAGTCAATATTTCACTGTTTAGGATCTGATTTATGCACGATTCTTCACAAATGAGCAAATTCGCGAAGACTTCGGCCGGATTAATTTAGGGCAACATCATTCATCTTTGTCGAGTTTTAGTACAGTTTTCTTTATGTTGTTTTTGCTTGTATATCTATGAGAACAACTAAAGTACTTACTTGATCAATGGCTTGTTGAACTTCTGGTGATAAAATAAGAATTTTATATCGATCATCATGTTCAAACGTATCACCATCATCAATAATTATTGTCATCTAAAAGCATGACAATTAGATAGCAACAATTGACTGCATATAAAATGCATGAAATTGTGTCAAATACAATACTATTTGAAAGTTCTTTTTGTATGACATATTTCTCTTTTGACTTGATGTAACTGTTAGTATCTGTCGTAATTTTACGAGAAAGTTTTTAGTTTGATAGTTTGTAAAAGTGCCATTTTATGGTTAGATTTTCTCTGATAATTGTGATTTGTACGATATGGTTTAAAAAGAAACTGAAGTCTTTAATCTGTCAGCTAGAAAAATGTAACAACATATATTCTATTCCTTAACTTATTTTTAGGCTGAAGACATGAATTTTAAGTCCATTTGTGTGTAACCATATCCAAAGTTATCAGAAAACCACTAAACCTTTTTTTCGTTCTTTCGAATAAGAATGATTTATTTTCTTATTGTATAATACCGTCGAGAAAAAAAACTACGATTAAATATTCTAACCGGAATACAAAGTAAAAGGCGTAAGACTATTGATTTTGACCGTAATAATAACCATATTTTTAAACGAATGTTATTCACTAATCTCTCCGAAAAAGTAAATAAATAGTACACGGAGTAAAAATGTAAACAATTGAGCAACGTGCAAAAACAAAAACCGTCCATTTTCACAAAAGCAAAGGTAGAAAAACTGTTCCAGACTATAATACTACTATGTACATGTTATGAAAAAGAAAAAATGAACTAGAAAAGATCACACACATAACTTGCATTTATGTACACAAAAAAAAAAATTCGAAAAAAAATGAATACAAAGGAAGATCCCAAAATAGCAAGACAAATAATGAGTAGAGAAAAAACGTTCGAAATAACACAAAAATCTTTTCCATTTTTTTATGGATATTGGCATAGCATTTTCGAAAATTTATCCACCCATTTTTTCATCCAGCAAAGATTTGTTGATGGATAACGAAACTTATTATTTGATCGATGCATTGTACGTGAACCACGATTAAACGATGATCGTTCTTGCTCTTGTTTTTCTGTTGATCGTTGTGACGAAGGTGGTGATGTATTTTTCCATGATGATAATCGTTCTTGTTCACGTAGTGTACCTCGTTGAAATGTCCAACGCCATGATTTACGTTGTTGTTGGTCTTGGAGTTCATCTGATTCAGTACGTGATTGTTCACGTTGATGTGCTCGTGAAAATAACCAATCTGAGCAACTTGTATGGACTTGCTGAATGGAGGATGTTAAATCTTCTTTAATATTTGTTAATGTTGTGCGAATATTTTCACCATGGTCGGAATTAAATTGTTGCACTTTTAATTTAAAATCATCGACATATTGTTGACGTTTATCGACAAATGAATTTAAAGATGAAACAACATTTGATAGTATCGTATCATTGTTCAAGTCAATTATAGTTGACGTTTTTTGTAGAATTTGTTCAAATATTGATTTATTTAAATCATCCTTGATATTACACTATAAAGATAAAAGAAGTGATCATAACATGGATAACTGTTTACATTGAAATCTGTGGCAGGAAAAAGTATTTTTGTCATTCTTTCTTCTGTTTCCAGAAAATCTTTTACACTTTCTAAGAAGTATCCCAAACTGCTGTTAACACTTACGTCAACTCCAACACATTTGGACGATGAAGAACTATTTTTCTTCACCATACACTGTTCATACTGTTTTTCTGTCCTATTCATTCGTTCTTGTAACAGTTTCATGTCATTGATTAATTGATCATGATCTTCTCGTAACTATAATAAACGAAAAAAGCAAAGTATACAGTAACATTCAAGCGGTTAAACTTTATCAAAGTAACCGAAAATCAGCGTTGACAAATGAAATTTGGAGTAATATCGCATGCTTTGTTACAATGATATTTTAAAACCCTAAAAAGTTTTCCTTACCATATCAATTGATTTAGTCAGATTCATTTGAGTTAAATTAAGCATAAATCTTAAATGTTCAATATGATTTAATAGTTTTGTTTTTTCATTATCATGTTTCTCTAATTGATCACGTAAATCACGTATGATCATATTATTGACTTTTTCATTATACTAGAATAATCAAAAAATATATTCACACATCTTGATCAAATTATCAGTCAATCTCTCCACGTACCATCTTTGATACTTTCTGACTGACTTCAGACATTCGCAGTTTTTCATTTGTTTCAAAGACGTTAATTTTTTCTTCAGCATCAGCAAGTTTTTTTGTAATATGAGAAGTACGATATGAACCTATAACAATGAAAATGTTCAAGTCTGTTGACGAGGAGAAGAATAAACGTTTATATTTACCATTTAAATAGCCAATACCCAAGAAAAATACTAACACAAGAGCAAAAAGGACAAGCAGATCAAGTGAGATATTCATATGTCGTGAGGACTCATGTCTTGTTGAATTGTAATGCGAAGTATTACTTATTTCACGATAATAATTTAAAGAAGCCTCAACTTCAGCATCAGATGCTAGAGATGCCGTTTTTGTTGCGTTCACATCTGTTAACTGTACATCATGTTCATCTACTATAGTCTGTTTGTCAAGTGTAACGGAAGAATCTGTATCGCTTTCAGTTGTTTGTTTATCAATGAGCAACTTTTCTTCGCAATCTAAAATATGAAAAATATGCAATAACAACTTTTTTATTAGTTTAAAATATACTAACCAAGATCATCATCAAAACGTACACTTGTCTGCCGAACATGGGGTCCCGTTCGACGACTAAACAAAACAATTAACAATTAATATCCACTTGCTGTAGATAGAAGAACATAATACACTACCGCAATTCGCTTGACAATGCAATTGATGCTAATGAACCACTGTCTTCATCTTCACGTATAAATGTAGCACTATCGTTCGAAAGATTTGATGAATGTTGAGACAGAAGGTCAATAAGTAACTGGACGTCACTAACTGATGATAAATTATTTAGTTGTAGTGATGAAGATAAAATTGAGGATTTGAGTGTAGAATCGGTATTTTCTTGTTCTTTATTAGTGTTATTGATAGGATTTATCGAAATGATATTAATATTATTTTGATCATCTTGATGACATTCATTTACAGTATTTAAATTTATATTTTCATTACTGGAACAGAAAATAAAAGATAGAATAGTCTTTTTTCGATAGTGGATTCCGGATGTGAGAAGGATGCGTAAATAACGTACTTTACATCGTCATTATTCTGTGATAATAAATCTGTTGAATGTACAAATAGCGGCGATGACTGATGAGAATAAGCGTTGCTAATATCCAGTGACATGCAAGATGACTGGTTATCATTGTCTGGGGTTAATGAAGATGGAGCATCACTCAAACCAATATCACTTATATTAGTTGAATTACTAATCACGCTGTTGCTATTGTTTTTATCATGTATTGGTGTTATTTCAGCAAGAGAAGTTTCAGTTTCGTCTGTATTCGACTCATCATGTGTATCGAGTAGCGTCAAATCACTATCGATTGCAGTTGATTCGTTATTATCCGAAGTATTTAACTGTTCATCATCGATGGCATTATGATCAAATCTAAATAAAAGAAAATTTTTTTTTCTATTAATTCTTATTATCAGGTTAAATGCTTACTCCGTCGATGAGATTGATGCTAATGATAAACTTCGAGACGCTTTTGAAGATAATGAGGTTGGTGTGGGAATATCAGAAGATGAACTGATCGCTGGCAACAACGGGGTTGAAGATATTATCGACGATTCTACAGAGGAATTTGTAAGATTTATAGCAGCTTGGCTCATCTAAATAAAATAAAATGATAAAAAGCAAAAATTACATTTGAGAAGGTGTGTACCAATGAAGTATCAGTAACTAAAACCCAATCTTCATTGTGAACATCTTGATTTGACGCATACATCTAACGAAAGAACACAAATAAAATTAGTGGAGTATTGAGATTCTTTCTAAAATTTGATACAACAGTCAGAGTGGTTGCTCATGATCAGGACAGAAGATTACGCCAATATGATCATATTTTCTTCTTTCATATACTGTTTGTAGGAATTCTTTCTACCAAAAACCGTATTAAGATGATTTATGAAACAGGCGCGATGAAAGATTTCGAAAACATGTAATTAAACTTTTTTTTTTTTATTGAATCTAGTATTAAGAATTAGATCGAATAATGCAGCTGACATCTCACAGGATAGATAGTATTAAGATCATAAAAGTAAATAGTGTTCAAAAATATCAGAATGATTTTAAGATTAAACGTTGAGGACGCTCACTAAATTTCGGATCTTATTATGTTCCTACCGTTTTGGTTCAAAATAATAAATCAGTGTATACAAACAAACACAATAATGTGTATACGACTTTTAATTATAGTTGGATATAAATGTCAATATCTACGTATTTATATTAAACCATGTAGAGAGAAAAAAACATTATTAATTCTCACCTGATTCTATGATGTACTTTCGTGGAGGATGATCACTTTCTGAAATGGTAACGAACTCAAAAACTATTGGTGTACATTGTACAAACAATCAAAATTAAAATAATTTCTTTTCAATGGTCTTCTGTACTATTCATCACTACATTTAATTTCTGACTCAAGTCGTGTTTCCAACATGACTTAAATTCCCATTTAACTTTTTGTTCAATCATATTACGAGTTTCTTACTTAAGTTGTGTAGTGTAGCCAAGATTTAATGCTCTTGAGATAAGTTAACAGCAAAACTCTACAACGCGCAAAACTCTACAATCATTGACATTCATGAATTGTTTTGGATTTAACTATGACTTCGATGTTATTTGGACCTTTCATGGATTGTAGTTCCTTTTGAGAACTACCTCGCACAACAAACGCTTAGCCTAAGCACGGATGGAAGTAGTGTACATTTTTCTTCACTCTGTTTCATTTCATCACTGTTTCGTTTCAGGGCTCTCTGAACTGTAGAATAGTAGATGTCTCGAAAATAGAATATCAATATCGATTTATTTGATTCTAAAACTTTCATTCAATAAAGTTTTTCCTTTAAGACCGAAAATGTGAAAAGAAAATGTACATTATTTCCATTTGAGTCCATACTAACAGAGAGAGAGAAACTCAATTAAATTTGTTGATTTATGTTTAATTTTTTTTTTCGAATTTTTTTATTCACACGTTTTAACATTTCACACTTAATTTGATTCAGGTCACAAATAGCCAAAAAGTGATTCTAGCATTTAGTGGTGTGTTAGATATTGAAAAGTGTTGCAGTTGTTGTGCAAGAAAGGAGAGTGTTGTTTTCTTTTTCATGTGAGTTCGTTATTTCACGACTGTAGTAACATAGTAAGTATTTATAAACAAAATTTTCTGGGAGATTGATTTGAATTTTTGTTTGTGGATTATATTGCTATTGCTTATATTAGAATCAAATACCATACTAAATCTTATTTTTCAGATGACTACAAGTCAAAATCGTTGGAACTTAAATAGTACTAGCCCATTTCTACCTAATCCTTTTACAGTTTCTTCTTCTTCGACACCGTCTCCTTTTTCTCCGATTATCAATAAAACTACTCCTTCGTCACTGTTATTTAACAACAATAGTCCCTCAATTACAAACGCAAATGGTACCACTATCTCGTTACATCGAAATTTAAATCAATTGGTTGATGAAGGACAACGATCAGCATACAAAAATAAAAGTGAACTTATTCAAGATGTGAATCAATTAAGTGCATTTACATTTTTTAATTCAAATGGCATTGATATTAAACGTATTCAAGATCAATTTCAACAAATTGATTATACATTGCAACAAAAACCAACAGTCGATAGTACAAAAACTGTTCAAACCGATCAACAAACATCCAAATTTGGTACAGATGTACATGAATATTTGAAAAAAGAACGTGAAAAAGCGTTATTAACAATGTTGAGAACAATTGAAGATAGAGTAAGTTTCGATAGTTTAGTCGCATGAAATTTCTTTGAAATGGAAATGTTAGTGTGTTGTTTGACTTTTAGACATACGATGAAATCAATACGAATAGTTCAAACACCTTGTTAAATAATTGGCATAAACAACGGAATACAATATTATCTAGTTTAATGAAGCACAATAAAAATTATCTTGAGGATGTTTCGACTGTACAAGTATGTGATGTGTAACTATTTCTTTTCTACTATTTATTTTTTAATTTGTTTATAGGTAAAACGTTTTGAAACCCCTCGAACATTGGCTCGTGGTCTAACAAATTTAGAAGCTGCTTATGCTAAAGTTGTAAGTTTTTTTTCTTTCTTTCTTTATATCTTCTCATTTCAGTGAGAGATCTGTTTAATTTAGATTGCACTTTATAATGTTTCGAATACAAAAGAAATTCAACCACGTCAAAGTTTATTAGATGAATTTAATCATGTAGTGGAATCATCCGATCAACAAGTAATTAAGTGTGAAAAATCTTTTATTTTACTATGGATATTTTATTATTGTGTAGATTGCTGTTGAGCTATGGAATACTGTTCGTTCAATGACACAATTTTCTGCTCAAATTCAACAAGAATATATTCATAATCGTTCGACATTACCTGTACAACGTGCTTTAGTATATCAGGCACGAAATTATTTAGAAAGAGCGTAAGAAGAGCTGGTTCAATGTATAAAGTGGAAGCTATATTTATGAATAATATGCTTTAGGTTTCGAATTCAATTATCAAAGTTGTTTATAAATCTTGTTTCGAATGACGACCTACATAAACCAGGTTCAGTATATAAACTTGTTATACGGTATATTAGACAAAAACATCCCCAAATTATCCATACAATTGATGAAGTAATTATCAAATGACATAAGAAAAATGAAATAAATTTATACGATTTCTTTTCATTAATTCTAGGACGGTTCTGTTGATGATTTACCGATTTGGTCAATTTTGTTTTATTGTTTGAGAGCCGGTGATTTACAATCAGCATTAAGTACTGCAAAACGATGCCAGTAAGTGTAGTCTTCTCTACCTATACGATCTTTCATTTTACATTAACTTGTTCTTCTGACAGTTTGTCAAATGCAATTGAATGGTTAACAAACTATATTAAAAATGATGGTACACTGGATTTAATTATGCGTGATAAAGTTCGTGATGTTTATGAACGACAACACTTAAATTCAACTGGAACAACTAATCCGTTCAAGAGGTTGGTATTATGGTTGTATCTGACAAAAGATAAAGTTCGTTTTGTTAAATTTAGTGCTGTTTTATCACTGATATCAGCATATGATATTAACAATAGACATGAACAAATAATAACAACGTTGGACGATTTACTTTGGTTGAGATTAGCACAAATTGTTTTTCAACAAGATCAACAGTCACACGTACAAGCGCGATCAACCTTATCCCAAGAAAAAGAAGGATTAACACTGACAATGTTGCAGAAGCTCGTTTTCAACGAAGGAGGTAAAGAACATAAAACATTGAAATTCATGGGCACTTATCGTACTGCTCGTAGCAAAATTTTGCGCGAACTAGCTCTCTCATGTCTATGTCAAATGAAATGTGCACATTCCCTGAGGAATCTATACATCCTTGATAGTGTTCAGGTAATTTGAATATATAGCATTGAAATTCCTTATAGAATATAATAACTTGATGTAGACCATGTAGACAGCTCATGTTTGAAGTTAAAACAAAAAATAATAGTAAAATGTTTAAGTTTTATTTTTACATCTTCGCTTTTTCCTTATTTAATATTTTTAGTTTTTGTATCTGTATGTACCCATAGATGAATGAGAACGAGAGTTACATGAAGCATTATTTTTTTTGCATTTGTGCCTGTTAGTTTTACAACCCCAACGATAGTCACAATGAAAAATTCTTCACCACCAACTGTTACTTTATTAGATATAATTAAACGAAGCAGTAGTGGTGTGACGACGGCAGTGATTGGTTTTGAAATTGCTTCACAATGTTCAGAATCTTTTCTATTATATTTTGTGTTAATACTACGCAACCAATAGAATGTAAACCGTTATGATCTGTATCGACTACTACGCGTGAAAAAAGCAAAGTTTAGCTAAGAGTTTATGGTTACATATAGGTAAAAAAACCTGAAAATATTAAATAAGTAAAAAGCGAAGATGTAAAAATAAAGCTTAACATTTTACTATTTTTTTCTGTTTTAACTTCAGACATGAGCTATCTACATGATTTATCAATTTATTAAATTCTATAAGGAATTTCAATGCTATATATCCATTTTTTCTGAACATTATCAAGGATGTATCGATTCCTCATGGAATGGGCATATTTCATAGGATTTAAATACATTCCCTGTAACATCCATAAGTAGTAGTACTTTGGTGTCGTATCTAGTATGACTTACAGAAAAGTTTATGGACATAATCACTAGTTTTTGCTTGTTTTTAGGTGAAAATCGAGCATTATTCAGTGAAAAACCTGTTCAATATGTCTTTAGTTTGTTGTTGACTGGACAATTTGAAGCAGCTCTAGATCTGTTGAATCAAATCGATACATTAAAATCCCATTCTGTTCATATAGCAATTTATCTACAAGAAAATCGTTTATTATCTATAACATCAAATTTAGATAGTCCAATGTGTATGTATAGTATTAACTTCACACATTTTATGTGTTTATTTTTATTTTATTTTTTGGCGTCATAGTAATACCAGATCCAGTTAATCATGAGCCGCTGAAGTCATTAAATTATTTTCGTTTAATATTGAATTATACCGAAAAATTTCGTGATAGTGAATTATGGCAAACACTCAACTATTATTATTTGTTGAAAGATCTTCGTCAGATGAATAATTCAAATAGTAGTGAAAATTGTTTTATAATAACTTTAGGAAATTTAATTAAAAATGAAACAACAAATAATTTAATGGAACGAATATTTGGAATTAATACCAATGGAGTAGAAAAAGATGTAAGATTTTTTATCTAGATTTTCTAAAAGAGAAAAATGTTTTTTTTTTTTATTTATTTTTAGTCTCGTATGTTGGATCATCTGGGGGTTGATAGCGGAGTGGTCACATCGAATGTTGCACTTTATCTAGAAAAATGTGGTCATCTTGAGAAAGCTGCACTTCTATATGATCGTGCTAAGGTATGAAGAAATGTTAATGATGTGGACGATTTTACACATGAAAAAATTGTTTGATTACTGTTGACTCATTTATGTAGCAGACATCTTGAAAATGAAGTATTTTTTTCTTTTTAGAAATTGAAACATGCTTGTTTAATCTACAATCGTCTATTATTTGAATCAATTCGTTCATTATTATCATCGACTCCATCATCCGAATCGTCAATGATATCATGTGCTCGTTCATTTGCCACTCGCCTCTCTAATCAATCACCAAATGATATTGATCAAAATTGTACAGCATTATTCACCTTGCTTGATATTTGTTCTTACATTCAATTTTATAAAAGTGAACAATATGAAATGGCCTATAAAATAATTCAACAATTAACGTTATTACCATTTTCTCATCAACAATTAGATAAATGTGTTGAAGCAATGAATTATTATTCAAATGAAGTCGCTGAATGTTATCCAGATTTAATATTAATTACATTAAAAATTATGGCACATTTAGCCGATAATTCATCTTCATCAAATCTAATATCGACAACATCGTTCGATCAAAAATCACAAATTTTATCGGGTCATAAACAATTTTCTGATGAATTGAAACGACAAGCTGATATTATCTTTCGTTTTATTGGTGTATTGACTTTTAAATTTCATAATAATGTTCATGCTCAATTAATGGAATGTTTTTCTAGAATTAAAATGGCTTAACATGACGTATTATACTTGTTGCCTTCTTACAGAAGAGTATTGCTATTAATGTGTATTTGTTTTTCTTTATGTTAAATATGTTCAGATATAGATATTTGTTGATGTACTAGCTAAAAACGTTTGTGATAATCTTTAAAAGAATAAAAATACAGTTCATTTGACTTTATTAAAAAAGTCGATTAGACTTTTACATCTCTTATTGTCTTAATCTTTTATTTGATCATACAGATGTCGTCAGCTTTTAATTCTGAGGATTATAGCTAATCTAGAATGGACTGAAAAATCATAAAATACAATTCAAAAAGTTGAATAGCAGATAATAATGAATATTCCAGTGAAAGTGTTTTTCAGTAGAAGGTCATTAACTATAGTATGATAGGCTAAAAGTAAGATACTCACCGCGTGAGAAGAGATGATAAAAAAATTTTCGTTTATTGATCGATTACTTTTTTATGAAATATCAGACATATCCTATAGTATGAATGAAAAACATCTCGATTGATTTTTGTGTGTGCTGCTTTTCAGCATAAATATCATTTGCCTTTCTAAAGAGTCTGCATTCTTGTAGCTCAAAATATATGCCTAACATGTCCGAGGGAAATTACACAATACGCGTGTTGCAGGGAAAACGCCCCTTTCAAATTATGAAACTATATTGCTCGTTTCTATGATGCCTGACTCATTATTTTTAACTGTAAACCATGACATGAGGTTTGTTTTTCTATTTAAATTTTTTTTTGAGAAAGAAAAATGCATGTTAGGTCAGAATCGTGTTTTCTAGAGTCATTCATTCTTGCTTTTGCAAAAGAGAAGTTTATCACTGATGTTCAGTTGATAAAATGTGATTGCTATAATTTTTCGAACTCCATAGTCACGATGTTTGAAAAATTGTAGATATCTTGGTTAGATTTGTTCGAATATTATGTAAGTTTCTCACTACATTCTGAACTTATTCAATTAACCACATTGTACTTTCACCGGCTAAATGATTCGTTTATTTGTTTTATTTATCTAACCGTAAATAATATCCATATCTTTAAACAAACTATTGATATTAAATGTCGTGTACAATTGGAAAATGTCACCGACTAAACTATAGCAGAAAATGAACTGACTAAAAAGTAAAATATTTTTTTTTTATCCATTAATAATATGTACTGTTGATAATACTGTCTATGTTTTCGAATGTGTCGTGCATCACCATTTTAGTACATTTGTTTATTTAATTCATAATGTTGAATAGAATAGGATCATCGCTTGAACAAATATAACTCGTTTTTGTACGCCGTTCAAATAGAACATGATGAAAGATTATTGGTACGAAGTAAAGGGATAGAAATAAAAACGGATATAACTTTTTATATATGATCCGATTTTTACTTCTGTATACTAAATATTTTTCAAAAATAACATATGTACTCTATTTAAATCATAGTAGAAAGATATGTGAACTATAAATGTTTTTATTTAACGAATATTCCTTATTGATTCATAATACGTATAAATGGGTTTTTTTGTTGTTCAAATTTTGAGTGAGTATTGGAATTCATACTAATATATTTTCTAGACTAGTGATTGTTAATTTGCTTAGTTATTTTACATACTTTAAAGCAAAAGAACAATGTTCATTTTCTGAAAGGCGTTTTTAAATACGAGCAAAAAAACTTGAAAGAAGTCCTTTGACACATTTGGAAATAACTCGTAGAATCAGAATTATTTCAATATAAACAGCAGTTATTTTTCTACTATTGTATTTTTGTTGTAGATCTGAGATTTCTAGTCATTTAATTATGAATAATACAAACGGCGATGCACATGAATCATCTAGTTCAGTCTTAGATGAGAATAATTCAATTGACACACATATGAATGGCAATCACGATGGTCAATTATTTCAATTACAACAACGTATAGATGAATTAGAAAATATAGTAGCACAACTAAAACATATGCTGCTCGAAACTTTGAAAAGAGTGAATATTTTAGAGGCGAATTCGGATAGACAAACTGTACGAAAGTCAAAGAGTCCAGGTTAATTAGCTACATCGTCAACTATTTTGACTTTTAAAATTTATTTATTTTATTTTTTCTAGTAAAAAGTGATCGATTATCGGTAAATAATTCAGAGCCTCATCGTAAAGTTTCTTTACCAACATCTCATATATTGAAAATAAATACTGTCGATTTACAATCAAAACAACAGCAACAACAACGAACAAAATCTTGTCTTCCAATATCGTCGACAAAAACACCGAGTAAATGCAGTTCTAGAGAAAGTATTAGTAGTGTGACTGGTACAGGATCTCAACCATTGATTTTACTCACAAAGTCTGCCACTACATCAAAAAAGATCCAGCATCATCATCCGATATCTCCAGCATACAATAACGGTAAGATCATTTTATGATCTTAGTTTAGCTTTGTTTTTAAACCACTTCCCCTCGTTTAGACACGAAGTGTATTCGTTTTAATCATAATGCGCGGTCGACATCTCTTTATGTTCCATCGTCGTTTGATGAAGATGCCAAACATTTGGATATACCAAATCCATTACCGGGGGAAATATTAAAATTAGAATGGGTTTATGGTTATCGTGGCAAAGATTGTCGATCAAATCTTTATGAAATAGCCACTGGAGAATTAATCTATTTTACAGCATCTATTGTTGTTTTATATAATTCCGAAGAACATTCACAACGACATTATCTTGAACATACAGATGATATTAAGTGTAAGTTTTCCAGACGTCCTTACCGAATATTAGACTATTAATCATAAAATTTAGCAAATTGTATTAATATTATTTTTATCTTAATTAGCGCTATGTATTCATCCAGATCAAGTAACTGTAGCAAGTGGACAATCATCATCAGCCAACAATACTACATCAAATTCACAACTAGCTCACATAAGAATATGGGATTCAATCTCATTACATACGACTAGAATTATCGGCATTGGACAATTTAATGTGGCTGTATCGTGTCTGAGTTTTTCGAAAGGTGACAGTGGAAAATCGTTATGTGCTGTGGATGAAGGTTTAGAACGAACATTATCGATATGGAACGTTGGCTCTGGTACTCAACTAACTAGCACTAAAGTAAAAAGAATATCTTGTTACGTTGATTCATATTTGTGTGCAAAATAAAAGTTTTTCAGTCTGTAATGATTAAAAAATAGCAATATTTAGTTACTTTATTACTTCTGTTTGCTTTAAATACTTCTATCTCATTCAGCTGAAATATGTATTTATTTGTTTATTCTAGTGTCATAGTGGTCCTGTTGCAATGGCTGAATTTCATTCATCGGATCCTCATATGATTGTAACGTGTGGAAAACAACATATTGACTCTTGGCGATATGATAGTAATGAACTGAAGAAAATATCAGGCCTTTTCGGGGTGAGTTAATCGTAAATTTGTGGACAAAGTTGATTTTATAGTTTAGCTCTCTGACTTCATTGACGTTTACTTTTTTTTCTCTCTTTAGAAAGATACTCCTAAATTTATTGTATGTATCGCATTTTGTGCTAATGGCGATGTCTGTTCTGGAGACTCAGAAGGAAATATTCTTATTTGGAGTAAAAGAGGTATATTTTATATCTCGTTATTGAAAGTTAACTAACCTTTATACTGTTTAATTTTTTTTTTCAGAGTTCAAACTAAATCGTACAATAAAAAATGCTCACGATGGTTCAATTTATTGTATCCTAGTTTTGGAAGATACTATATTAACTGGAGGAGGAAAAGATGGAATGATCATTGAATGGAATACAAACTTTGAAAAGACTACTCAAACGTATAAGGTGAGATCAAAACTCCACTCTACTCACATACACATATGATCTACTCTGGTTTTCTTATTTTTAGTTAAATGATTCAATGGGATGTGTGCGTACAATAGCTTCCAGTCGTGGGCCTATGGTCGCCATTGGTACAACAAAAAATTTGATATTACACGGTTCTATATCTGTTGGATTCAGTACCATTGTCGATGTACATATCTTTTACTATTTTATATTTGCATTATATTAATTATATCATTCTTAAATTTAGAACCATCACGATGAATTGTGTGGCTTAGCCATTCATCCTAGTGAGAAAAAGTTTCTAACGTGTGGAAACGATGGTTTAATATTTTATTGGGATACGTTAACTCATTCATTTCTATGGCGTTATTCACTTGACGAACCAATTCATTGTACAGCATTTCATCCTTCAATAGACGTTGTGGCTATCGGTCTCAAAAAACCAAAATGGTTGATATTCGATTGTATTCAGCATAAAATATTACATTCACAAAACGAAGGAACTGATCAAATTCAATGTTTACAATATTCACCAGGTAGCTGTAATGAAAATTGATTTTTTATTTGTCTATGTCGGATGGACAAAGGTTATTCTTTAAAAATAGTCGCAATTATGAATCGTTTTTCGTTTTGATTATAGACGGAACATATTTAGCAGTTGGCTCTGGCGATCATTGCATTTATGTTTATCCGTGTGAAAATGGTTTAAAATATTCAAAATGCTCTCGATTAATAGTAGGATCATATCCGTTATAATAAGTTGTCAGTCTTTGTATTTTTTTCTTCTCTTTAGGGCCATTCATCATTCATTACACATATGGATTGGTCTAAAAATGGCCAATATTTACGTTCAAACTCTGGTGATTATGATCTTATTCATTGTAAGTATTGATGTAGTCTGAACAAATGAAGTTTATATCATCTGTTAATATTAAGTTACACTGTACAAAATGCCAGTGAACTTATAACCTTTGAAAATGAGCACTAAGCATGCTATATTTAATATTCTTCACTATTGTGCATGTCTATGAGATTATGACATGCATCAGTAAAATTAACCTTCTATAATAAATGTAGTCACATTTACTGAATATGCTTTATTCATAATAAAAAACGAGACAATTTTCTTCCATAATATCAACATTCATTTTCCTTAGGGGAAATTTTGTCATATAAACAAGTCTCACAACCTGATACTGTTCGTGATATTGAATGGGCAACATGTAATTGTACGTTATCCTATACGACATATGGCATTTATAACGATGGTGCTAATATCGGTTGTTGTTCACGTTCATTCAATGAAAAGCTATTGATATGTGGCGATGATAATTGCCGAGTTAATCTTCTTTCTTATCCATGTAACAAACCAAAAGTATGAGCGTATTTAACTTTTGCCAATCTTTCAATCATTTTTTTTGTTTATTTTTATTCTGTTTTTATTAGGCTGCACGTCATTCATTTTGTGGTCATGGTGGTCCTCTAACGAATGTTGCTTTTGTTCCGGATGACGATACACGTGCAATATCAACCGGTGGTATTGATGCAACAATTCTTCAATGGACAGTTGAATTGTCTTAATTCAACTTGCAGATTTATTTTCTATTTTTTGTTCACTTTAATGAAATGTTAACAAATCTCTATTTTTGTTCGTTTGTTTTTGCTTGACTTTTTAGACAACAATGGTTATATTTATAGTCTGTGTTTTAGAAAACGTTTTAATGTTTGATAAGTGTGCAAAATGTTTTTCTTAATCCTATAAGGCTTGAGTTTAATTAGTTTTATTTTTAGACGTTTTATGCGCCATGTTATTTGTTAATTGCTTTTTCTGATTAAAGTTTTACTTATTAGAACTTTTTATCTTCTTAATTTAAAACCGTTTGTTATAAGTTTCATCTCTAACATTGAAAAATTCACACTGCTCCAGCTTGATCTCCTGTTTTTAAAATTATCGATGTTTTAGGTTAACTTAACTTGAATTTGTCACATCTACTATGATCTCGCTTTTTACAGCATATTTTCCACGGTTTCTTTTTCTAGAGCTTACGTTTATTATTTGTAGTCAGTCAACAATTTTTCTCGTCAGTAAGAGAATGCGTTTCTATTTTTATTCATTTATTTCCGTTGTTCTTTTAAAATTACAATCAGATATTTACAAAAGATCTCAGAACACTTACTACTTGCTTACATGTGTGTGTTTTATTTCGGTTTCAACATGTATTTGTTTATTTTCGATATTTATTTCCAATCTTTGGCTTTGCGTGTTTGTAAAAATAATAAAATACAGATAAATACTCCGGTTAACCGTTATTTTATTAAACTTGTAATGAATAAAGAAAATGAATTTTAATAGCTCTAAGTGAGAAAGGTGAACACTAAATTCTATTTTTTCCCCTCTTGACATCAATTTAGATATCGTACTAGAAAGTATTATAACAGCAGCTAGAAAATATACACAACTTATCTTTTCATGTAAGATGCACGGAAAGCAAAGAAATAGTGGAATTTATTTTTCGTTGTTTTATACACCATTCGATAGAGAATTTAATGGTGATCACGAATATGTGCTCCCTGAATTTGTTTAGGTTTCCTTCCGGTCGAAAA